AAGTGGGCCCAGGGCACTGTTTGGTAACAAGCTGGGCCGGGTGGCTGAGGCATTGGCTCCAGCCGTGACCATGTCTCCCCCTCAGGGTAAGAAACCAGCTTTGCAGTTGACGCCCAGAGCAGCGATTTTCAAGAAATCACTGCAGGTGGTGCATTAAGGAAGAAGAATGAAAAGAAAGGTTAAAGCAAAACAAAAATAAGTCGAATAGAAAATAGCAGAGTGCATGGTACATGGTAAGACGTAAGTACGGTTTTCTGAGATTTTAATTTACATTCTGGGTGGAACGAGTTAGGATAGAAATGGATTTCTTCTTTCCTGCTATGGTAACTATTAAGAAAGGGCCAGAGCCTCCAATCTGGAAGGCTGCCTGCGGGTGGAAAGAGCCGTTAGGAATAATAGAATTGGGGCGCCTGGGTGGCTCAGATGGTTAAGTGTCTGCCTTCGGCTCAGGTCATGATCTCAGGGTCCTGGGATGGAGCCCCACCATGGGGCTCCCTGCTCAGCGGAGAAGCCTGCTTCTCCCTCTCCCTCTTCTGCTCCCCCTGCCTGTGCTCTCTCCCCCTCCTCAAGTAAATAAGCAAAATCCTTTTTAAAAAAGATATTTTAAAAAGACTTTTAAAAAAGATTTTATTTATTTGAGGGGCTCCTGGGTGGCTCAGTGGGTTAAACCTCTGCCTTCGGCTCAGGTCATGATCTCAGGGTCCTGGGAAGCCCCGTAGAGGGCTCCCTGCTTGGTGGGGGGAGTCTGTTTCTCCCTCCCCCTCTGCTGCTACCCCTGCTTGTGCTCTCGCTCTCTTGTCAAATAAATAAAATAAGAAAAAAATATGAATCATTGCCTTGATCTAAAAAAGTTTTAAAATTGTTTTCACTTATTTGTTATTTTATGTTGCAAGCAATCCAACTTCGTAAAAAGTGACAACTGAATAGAAGTGCGCCAAGTTCTTAAAAGTTCCCTCCACCCCCTTGGGGGCCTACTTCCATGGCTACTGCCCATCCCGGAGCTGCTGGAGTTCCTGGGGGGAGTCCCTCAGGGAAGCTTTAATTCATCTACAGATGTCCTTTTTCTTTTAACACGAGTGGGATCCCTATGATACACCAGCTGTTCTGCAACTTGCTTTAGAAATTTCACAGGTTTTTGGGATGTTTAGCTGGCTCAGTAAGTAGAGCACGTGACTCTTGATTTCAGGGCTGTAAATTTGAGCCCCATGTTGGGAGCAGAGATTACTTAAAAATAATAAAAAAAAAATTTAAGATTTTATTTATTTATTTGACACACACAGAGAGAGAGAGAGAGAGAGAGAGCATGCATGTGCACAAACAGAGGGAGAGGGAGAAGCAGGCTCCCCGCTAAGCCGAGAGCCTGATGTGGGGCTTGATCCCAGGACCCTGGGATCATGACCTGAGCCAAAAGCAGACACTTAAGGGACTGAGCCACCCAGATACCCCTTAAAAATAAAATCTTAAAAAAAAAATTTGACACTTTTTTGGATTACTTTTTTTTTTACCCTAAGCGTTATTGAAATACGATTCACAAACCTTACCGTGCATCCATTTAAAGTGTAATGGTTTGGGGGGCCTGGGTGGCTCAGTCGGTGAAGCGTCATGATCTCGGGGTCCTGGGATGGAGCCCTGCGTCCGCCTCTCTTCTCATCAGGGAGTCACCCCCCCTCCTCTCCCTCTGTGATCTCTCTCACTCTTGCTGTCTCTCAAATAAATAAATAAAATCTTTTAAAAAGTGTACAGTCCGATGGTTTTTCGTATATCGGCAGTCACACAACCCGCACACAGTTTAAGAACATTTTGTGCCAATTCCAAAGAAACCCATTAGAAGTTGTTCCCCATTCCCTCCCTCAAGTCTCCCCTTCTCCGTCCTTAGGCAACTGCTCACATACCTTCTGTCTGTACAGATCTGCCTTCTCTGGACATTTCATATAAATGGAGTCATTCAATGTGTGTTCTTTTGTGGTTAGATCTTTCCTTTTCCTTGAAGCTTTCAAGGTTCACCCAAGTGTTGGTTTCTTTACTCCTTTCTGAGGCTTCACAGCATTCCCTTGTGTGGATACATTTTATTTATTCATTCATTAGTCCCCGAACATTAAGGTTGTTTCCGGCTGTTACAAATAATACTTCTATAAACGGATGTATATAAGTTTTAATGTGGTAGTTTTCCTTTCTCAGGGTGTGTACCCAATGGAATTGCTAGCTCACATGGTAATTCTGTGGTTAACTTTTTGAGGACCTGCCAGACTGTTTTCCAAAGTGGTTGCACCATTTTACATTCCTAGCAACAGTGTGTGGGCGTTTTAGTTTTTTCGTACCCTTGTCAACATTTACTATTTTCTGTTTTGTTTTGTTTTTTTTTCAATTATTATATCCATTGTAGTGGGTGTGGCTTTGACTAGTCTTTCTCTAATGACTAATGACGTTGAGCATCTTTTCATGTACCTACTGGCCATGATTATGTCTTCTCTAGAGAAAGATCTATTCAAGTCTATTCAAGCCCTTTGCCCATTTTTTATTTGTCATCTTATTGTTGTCTACATTTTTTTTTTAACTTATTTATTTGACAGTGAAAGAGATCATAAGCAGGCAGAGAGGCAGGCAGAGAGAGAGGGGGAAGCAGGCTCCCCGGCGAGCAGAGAGCCCGATGCGGGGCTCCATCCTAGGACCCTGAGATCATGACCTGAGCTGAAGGCAGAGGCTTAACCCACTGAGCCACTCAGGCGCTCCAAGTTGTCTACATTCTTTATAGAGTCCCTTACCAGCTTTATGATTTGCAAAACTTTGCTCCCATTCTGTGGGTGATCTCCCCGCTCTCTCATTGGCGTCCTTTGAAGCACAGTGTTTAGTTCTGATGGTGCCTCATTTATCTGTTCCTTTGTTGCTTGTACTTTTCGTGTCATAGCTAAGAAAGCTTTACCTGTCCCATCTCACAAAGATTTTCTCCTGTATTGTTTTCAAAGAGTTAGATGATGTTTTAGCTTTTATATGTAAGTCTTTGATCCATTTTTAGTTATTTTTTGTGACTAGTGTAAGGAATGGGTTCAGTTTCATTCTTTGGCCATGTATATATTCACTCGTCCTGGCATCATTGGTTGAAAAGAGTATTCTTTCCCCATTGAATTGTCTTAGTGCTGTTGTCATAATCAATGGTTGTAAATATTGGGGTTCATTTCTGGCCTCTCAAATCTATTCCATTGATCTGTGTCTATCCCAATACCGATACCAACAGTCTTGATGACGGCAGCTTCATAGCAAGATTTGAATTCAGGAAGTGTGACTCCTTCAACTTTGTTCCTCTTTTTTCAAGACTGTTTTGGCTATTTTCGGTCCCTTGCGTTTCCGTATGAACTTTAGCATGTGCTTGTTAATTTCTTCAAAGAAGCCAGTAGGAATTTAATAGTGATTGGTTTGAATCTATAGATCATTTTAGGCGAGTATAGCCATCTTAGCAATATTAAATCCTCTGGGGGCACCTGGGTAGCTCAGTTGTTAAGTGTCTGTCTTCTGCTCAGGTCATAATCCCAGGGTCCTGGAATCGAGCCCCACATCAGGCTCCCCGCTCAGCGGGAAGCCTTCTTCTCCCTCCCCCACTCCCCCTGCGTATTCCCTCTCTAGCTGTCTCTCTTTCTGTCAAATAAATAAATAAAATTAAAAAACCCTCTGATCTATGAATGCAGAGTATCTTCCCATTTTTTTTTTTTTAAGATTTTATTTATTTATTTGACAGACAGAGATCACAAGTAGGCAGAGTTCTCTGCTGAGCAGAGAGCCTGATTCGGGGCTCGATCCCAGGACCCTGGGATTATTACCTGAGCAGAAGGCAGAGGCTTTAACCCACTGAGCCACCCAGGTGCCCCTCTTCCCATTTTTTTTTTTTTTTTTTAGATTTTTAATTTCTTTCAGTGTGTTTTTTCAGTGTACAAGTCATGTACTTCTTTTATTAAATTTATTCCCAAATATTTTCTTCTTTTTGATGTTCTTTATAGCTGGACTTATTTTCTTAATTTCTTTGGATTTTTCATTGCTAGTGTACAGAAATACTATTGAATTTTGTATTCTACAATCTTGCTGAACTTGTTCTTGACTCTTTTTGCATGTCTTTATGTATCTAGAGCTTCCCTTTCCTCTGTAACAGTCACATGACAGTGCATGGTATAGAAAGCCATACTTAATTTAACAAACCTCTACTGACAGACATAGTGGGCTGTTAGCTTTTGTATTGATCATGCTAAAGAGGATATTCTTTGGGTCACTCAGCCATTCTTGGGATGTGTATAGAGCCCCAATCTATGCCACGCACTCTTCGAGGCCCTGGGGATACAGACAGTAAGAGAGTAAAGGAGGTTTCAGCTTGGGAAAACCTCCCCGTAGCGAATAAAGCAGAGAGAGATGTGTTAGGGAGTAGTGCAGGTGCATTTGAGAGGAGTCCTTTGAATTGAGATTTCTCTAGATGAGTCAGGATCCAACTGATGAAAGGGAACCCACTATTAGAAGATGGGGAAGATTGTTCTAGGCACAGGGGTTAGCAAGTACAAAGGCCCTGGGGTGGAAATGGGCTCCCCGTATTCACCACACAGAGAGCAAGCCATTGGGCCTGGAGAGGTGCCAAGGCCAGAGGAGAAGCGGGCAGGGACCAGACTAAAGCCGGCCTTGTAGTCTTAAAAGCCATTGGAGAGAAGCTGCCGGAGGGTGTTAAGCCAAGGAACGATCTGATCTACTTTACCTTCTAAAAAAGATCACTCCGATTGCTTAAGAAGCATTTATTTTCCCTGCCTTATTTCAGACACTGAGTTCTCCAAAGTGGAATTACTTGGTCAACGGGTTTGTACATTTAAAATGTTCTACATGCCGCCTGCCAAGTGTGCCTCCCCAAAAGATGCTGTACTTTTCCCTCCGAGGGTGCCAGTTCTCTTTGCCACCGGGGGCACCCAGGGTGAGATGCACTGCGAGCTCTCACTCCCTGGGCCCTGGTACCCATTGTCTCGCTTCCCTTGTAGGACCCACACTTCTGCGTTTGCCCTGCCACTCTGGCTCTGCTGCCCACCCTTTGGGTAACACGGGCCTCCCGGGAACATGGCAGACGAAGACCTCATATTCCGCCTGGAAGGTGTTGACGGCGGCCAGACCCCCCGGGCTGGTCATGACGGTGACTCTGAGGCTGACAGCGATGATGAGGAAGGTTACTTCATCTGCCCCATCACCGATGACCCCAGGTCTCACCAGAATGGCAATTTCAAGGTTAATAACTACTCCAGCAACCTAACGAAGAGTGAACAGTATGGCTCCAGCGGGTCCCCCGCAAGCTCCTTCCATTTTAAGGTGAGTGGACCAGCCGTTCCACCCCTACCCACCTGCCGCAGGGGATCGGGGAGCTGCTTGGGGTCTTCCCTGGGTTTCCAAAGCCTGGGCACCACTCTAAATTCTGTGTCTGGGGATATGTGTGTCACCCTGGGAGGATTTCGTTGGCTTAAAACAAGTTGCATTACTTTTGAGCAGGTGTTTTTGAAATAGTTGTGAAGACCCACTACTGAGTTGTGAAAACCTTAACCAGCTTTTTAAAAAAATGCAGCAGAGCAGAATAGACTAGGAAATACAGGAGACCATTGCAAATTGTAAAGATTGTATCTTTTTTTTTAAGATTTTATTTATTTATTAGAGAATGAGAGAGGGAGCATGAGAAAGGGAGGGCCAGAGAGAGAAGCAGGCCCCCCACTGAGCACAGAGCCCGATTCGGGACTCGATCCCAGGACTCCAGGATCATGACCTGAGACAAAGACAGTTGCCCAACTAACTGAGCCACCCAGATACCCATAAAGATCTTACTTTTTGGAACATATGCAGAAACATGTTCACACACATGAATGTGGTAAACCAGTTTGTTGTTGACAGCCAGGCTCTAATCACATAAATGTCTGCATTTCACTCCTGATGGATGTGTATGTGGGTCCAGGGACATGATATAAAATACGGTTCTTCGTGTTGGTTGTAGTCAAAAGAGCCCCCGCCTTACTATAACACCGTATGAAACTGGAATTAAAATAAAAATCTTAATTAAAAAATTAAAAAAAAAAACATTGCTTAGAGTTGGGCATCCTTCCGTATTAAGGAGAAGGGTACTTGTTTTGTCAGGGATTTGTGTTCCTACTATGGTAAAACTGGTATAAAGAGAGGGGAAACGATGATTATAGGGCTTTTGTTATCATAACTGGTGATGAAAAAAATTTCATTTAGTTAGTCTCATTTCTGTGCCCAACGTGGGGCTCAAACTCATAACCCCATGATCAAGGGTCATGTGTTCTTCCAACTGAGCCAGCCAGGTGCCTTGAAAAAAACTTAAATAGAATAATGCTCTCCTTATTAATTTGAGGCCCGCCCACAGAAGGTATCTGTTAGTACTGAAAGCAAAATGTACGTTACCGCTTTGGGATTAGGAATTGGAGTCACTCTTCTCTAACTTCAGAATTAATCTGTTTTTAGGAAATTAATAATTATAGTTCTTGGACAGTTGGTTATATTCTTTTGTCAGGGCCAGAGTTCTAGATTAAGTCTCTGTGGGGCAGACAGCTCCGGACACAGCCCTGTGGGTCCCCTGTGAAGTTGGGGGGGGCCACTGTGGGATCAGGTGGCGGCTTGTCTTGCTTTCCTGTCTTCAGCCAGCCCTTGTGCCGCACGTGCACCCAGCCCTGTGGAGGGCCACGTGGGAAGGGCAGGGGGACAGCCTGGCGTGCTTGTGTTCACTGTGGGTCGGGGCTTATGGAGACGCAGATTGCTGAGGCATCCCGTACCTGGTCTGAGGGAATCCAGGTGCCAGCAGGGGCTGGGGCTCAGGGCTCATGAAACAGAAGCCAACTCACACCACCAGCTCAAGGGAAGAAGGGTATTTATTTCTTGGGAGCCAAGGGAAGAAACAATGTCTGGCCTCTCAGGGGATGGGTCTAGGAACTGGAAGGTAGCAGAGCTGTCTTTCTCTCTTTCTCTCTCTCTTTTTTTTTTTAAAGGATTTTATTGTATTTATTTGACACAGAGAGACACTGCAAGAGAGGGAACACAAGCAGGGGGAGCAGCAGAGGGAGAGGGAAAAGCAGGCTTCCCACTGAGCAGGGAGCCCAATGTGGGGCTCGATCCCAGGACCCTGGGATCCTTACCTGAGCCGAAGGCAGACGCTTAACGACCGAGCCACCCAGGGGTCCCTCTCTGTCTCTCTCTACCTGTTCTTTATTCTCCTCTGCCTCAGTTTACACATCAGGCAAATGGACCCCCACCAGCACCCCACATTACAGTTGGAGCCACATGCGAAGACATAGAGCCTCTCCATCCCAGTTGCAGACAAGGTTTGGGAGAGAACCAAGTGTTCTCTCTCTGACCCAGTCATTTTTTTTTTTTTTTTAAGATTTTATTTATTTATTTGACAGAGATCACAAGTAGGCAAAGAGGCAAGCAGAGAAAGAGAGGGGTGGGGGGAGGAAGCAGGCTCCCTGTTGAGCAGAGAGCCCAATGTGGGACTTGATCCCAGATCCCTGAGATCATGACCTGAGCCGAAGGCAGAGGCTTAACCCACTGAGCCACCCAGGCTCCCCAGGAGGGCCTTATTTAAATTTTAAACCATGGTCCTAAGAGAATACTGTATTTACATTAAAACAGAGATGATATTTCTTTTCTTTTTATATTTTATTCATTTATTTGACAGGGAGGGAGAGCGAGCACAAGCAGGGGGAACTGAAGGCAGAGGGCGAGGGAGAAGCAGGCTCCCTGTGAACAAAGAGCCTGACGTGGGGCTCCATCCCCAGGAGCCCAGGAACATGACCCAAGCCAAGCGTAGATGCTTAACCAACTGAGCCACCCAGACATCCCAGAGATGATGTTTCTATGTGATTCGACTGACAGTGCCAAGATATATGTGTGTGTGTGTACATACACACACTTTTGGTGGGAAGATCCATGAAAAGCCATAAGGACAGTATGGACATAATTAGAATTTTAAAAATGGTAGCTATTTTTATTTTTATATACTGTTAAGTCAAGTTGAAATATAATACGGTCCCACATTTATCAAAAAGATATACACATCTTCATATTTACATAGCCAAAACTTGTATGGAGGAATTTGTACACAGTAGTTAATAGTGATTCTCTTTGGGGGAAAGGGTGCTGTTACGGGGGGCTTTGTCTATATTATATATATCTCTAAACATACGAGACTTTTAAGCCAAACCCATGTATTATTTGTGTGCAGAAAAAGACTTTAGGGGCATCTGGGTGGCTCAGTGGGTTAATCCTCTGCCTTCAGCTCAGGTCATGATCCCAGGGTCCTGGGATCGAGCCCCGCATCGGGCTCTCTGCTCGGCAGGGAGCCTGCTTCCTCCTCTCTCTCTGCCTGCCTCTCTGCCTACTTGTGATCTGTCAAATAAATAAATAAAATCTTCAAAAAAAAAGAAAAAGACTTTAGAAGAAGAAAACTAAAGCAAAACAGTCAGGTCACCTCACCTCTCCCAAACAAAGAAATCAATAAATTGCCCCTCCTTAAAATTTCTACAAGGCCTGGTTCAAAATCCTCACCAAGGATGGGCGGGCCCATGGTCCCCAGGGGCCCCTCAGGCTCTGCTCACCCCACACCTCTCCCTTTTCCTGGAACAGGTTTCCCTTTTCACGCCTCTGCCTGAAAGCTCTTTAAACTAATGTCTCAGTCTGGTCTGTTAAAGCGATTGTTCTGGCTCCCTTGGGATGTGGTTTTAAGACACCCTGCCCTGGCTATCTCTTGAGCATTCTCTGGGGCTCCGAGCAGACCTCTGCGTGCGTCTTGTCATTCCCCAGCTGAGTCAGCCACTCCCTGCAAGGGTGGGGACGATCTGACTGCACTTGCTTTTCCTTGTACTGGGTCGAAGGACCAGTTATGGACTAGTCTTGCCTCTTGGTTGTCCACCATCCTGGGTAACGGAAAGCAGGCTCTGTGGGGCTCCTGTTGCCCGAGGCAGCTTTGGAGGGGTGACAGCAGCTCCATTTTCCAAACCTCACTCCTCCTGGCCCTCCCCGAAGGGAACGTGTTTTCTGTTTACTGTTGACATGGCAACCTGGGTTGTTCAACCAAAATGGCCTCCAGAGAGGCGTCACCCTGGCAAGGACCAGGCGTGTGGTGTGAACAGTCCAATTCTGTCACTGTCAAGGCCATGGCCTTCCAACTCGTTCCCCAGAGGATGGTGGTGGAGTCGATCAGGGGGCCGCCCTCTGGATAGAACATCAGGCAGCCAACCAAGGATGTTTATAGAATTTTCTGTAACATGGGAAAGTGCTTCTGCTCTGGAGTTAAACTCAGATAGAATATAGAGTATAGGGACGCCTGGGTGGCTCAGTGGGTTAAAGCCTCTGTCTTTGGCTCAGGTCATGATCCCAGGGTCCTGGAGTCGAGCCCTGCATCGGTTCTCTGCTCAGCAGGGAACCTGCTTCCCCCTCTCTCTCTGCCTGCCTCTTTGCCTACTTGTGATCTCTGTCAAAAAAATAAATAAAATCTTAAAAAAAAAAAAAAGAATATAGAGTATAGTTCCAGCTTTGTAAAACACACTCACGCGTGCGCGTGTGTACACACAACAAAAGCCTGGAAGAGAGTATATCAGTGCTCCAAAATGGATAGGATCTGGAGAGATCGCATTCCCTTTCCACTGTTCTGTTGTTTCTCCTGTCTAAAATGAGCACACATATATTTTAAATTTTTCAATAAAGTAGGAAATTTGGGACACCCAGGTGGCTCGGTCTGTTAAACATCTGCCTTCCGCTCAGGTAGTGATCTCAGGGTCATGGGATCGAGCCCCATGCCGGGCTCCCTGCTCAGCGGGGAGCCTGCTTCTCCCGCCGTCCCTCTCCCTGTTTGTGCTCTCTCTCACTCTCTCAAATAAATAAATAAAATCTTTAAAAAAGAAATAAAGTGGGAAATTTTATTTTTAAAAATTGTTTTCCTGGTCTGGGAGTATCTTGGGGGTCATTCCATATCTCACCTCTTTTACCTACCTACCTACCTACCTACCTACTACATACCTTTATCTACCTATTTTTTTATTTTTCACCTCTTTTATTTCTCTTTTTTTAAATTTATTTGTGGGGACAGAGGGAGAGGGAGAGAGAATCCCAAGCACATTCTGCACTGAGTGCAGAGCCTGACACGGGGCTTGATCTCTGGACCCTGAGATCGTGATCTGAGCCAAAATCAAGAGTCAGATGCTTAACCAACTGAGCCACCCAGGGGCCCCTCGCCTCTTTTATTTTTAGAGTGAATTGTATTCTGTCACATGATGTACATGGATTTCTGGAGCCAGCCTTCTTCTTGGGAG